ACATAGAGGCAGGCGTGAAGGAATGAAAGGGAGAATTATGCTAAAAAAGTTGTATCCATAGAGGCATCCAACCATTTTCTTTAATGGAGACGGGTAAAAACCAGAATTGATCACTTTCTAGCGATCATGGAAGCAACAACAAAAGCAAAAATAAAATAGTTACAAGGGATTGGTTGAATTCATAGAGAGATTCAATGGTTTTATTTAATAGAGACTGTGATAAAAACCAGAATTAATCATCTTCTAGCAATCATGGAAACAATAGCAAATATAGTTAAATGGGATTTGTCCAATTGGAACACATTCAGATGTTGATTTGGGAAACTTCTGCAAACATCTCTCGCTACAGTCTTTAGGTACGCATCCTTCGTACAACTTCTCTTCACATTGTATTGCATTGACCGACAACATGCATGCAGCTGTCAAAAATCAAATAGTTATTAAAACGGAATTCTTGAAAGTTCATAAGATGTTTCTATATCTAAAAAACAAACCTGAGAATAGGCCAACTATGGTAGCTTCAAACCCCTGTGGAAGTAACTAATTTTTTCATGGAAGGACCTTAACTACCTCCACAAGAGTAGTATGTATTGTTATATAAATTACAACTGTTAAAGATTGTGACATCCAAGTAAATAAATGAATCGAAACTATGTCCGGATGAAAATAACCTTGTGGATAGGATGCTAAGAAAAACTTAAAAAAATTAAAAGTTACTGTCCATTCTAGTGGTAAGTGTGTTTTGCTGGTAACAATTCTATGTTGGGTGATCTCTTCAAAATTTTCTTAGAATGCATGTAAGTTAGGATAAAACATGTTAGAATGGCTCGTGTTATTTGTTTCCTTTTTAGAATATGTTTCACTTCTTTTGTCACCAACCTTTGGAGCTTAGGCTCACTTTCAATCTTTTATGAGTTATACTTTAGTAAATCTTCCAATTTTGTGGGCATCGTTTTCCCTCGGTTTGTTTCGGTTTATCAACATATCATCCTTACTGATTCAAGTTCCAAAGTTATGCTTGTAGCAAATTTAAACACTTTCTTTCTCTTAATTGGTCAAATGTGTCATCTTTCTCGCTTCCATTCTCTGTAACTCAGAGTGAAGCTGTCATATTATAGAAGAATAAGAGGATGAACTCGAGTTATTTGAATAAACTACTTCCTCCAATTAGATGATCAAATTAAAGTTTTATTATTCCTTACCGAACTATTTCATTTTAAAAGACGTCATTCTTTAGTGATAGCAATTATTTACTCACACCATACAAACTTATCAATCAATTATTTATTCACATCATACAGACTTATCCATGTATAAATTATTTGATTCCACTATTATTTAGCTATTAGCAATGGTAAAGAAAAGACCAATAAATAAGTGTTTTTTGTTGGCCAGATGCTTTATGAGAATTAGATCAATATGTATAAATGATGGTTGCACCATATCAATGAGTGTTGGTTTACAATTTATTTCCTGGAAAGCTTTATCCAATGGTTGTTGAGTTGCACTGATTGTTAGTACGTCTTGGTAGGTTGCTTAGCATGAAGGGCTGGGGAGTGTAGTTTTCTAGATGTTAAGCATGAATGCTTCAACCTGTCTTTTTAGTTTTATGCATGTTTGTTTCTAAATTTTGATGAAAGCATATCTAAAAAATATTTCAAAAAAAAAAAAAAATTATTCTTCATACTTTTATAACAAATTATTAATGAAAACACGAGGGATATTGTTTTTCTATAAGCATAAATTACAGAACAATTTATATAAATACTAATACTCTTATGGAATGTTATTTATTTTTATTAATATTATGAATGAGGTTGGTTGTCATAGATTCGGTTTAGCTATAAGCAACTAAAAATTGGATCTTACAACTCTTGTATTTTAAGGGCTTAATAATGTATTATTTCGCTAAACTATTTGGCTAACCGATCAAGTTATATTCAGGTCAGCAATTTAGCTATTCAAAAACTAAACGAATATATATGTTCTCTTTCTCTACCTAAAACTTTTTTAATAGTCGTTGGGTTTATTATAACACATTATATTCGTAGGTTAAGTTAGTAGTACAAATAGGATCGCGAGAGTCGAAATGAAAACAGAGTTCAGGGTGAGAAGAAATAAAATGGAGAATTATGCTTTAAAAAGTTGAATCCATATAGGCATCCAACCATTTTATTTAATGGGGAACGGGTAAAAGCCAGAATTGATCACTTTCTAGCGATCATTGAATCAACAACAAAAGTAAAAATAAACTAGTTACAAGTGATTGGTTAAATTTATAGAGACATTCAACGGTTTTATTTAATAGAGTATGTGATACAAACGAGAATTAATCATCTTCTAGCAATCATGGAAACAATAGCAAATATAGTTAAATGGGATTTGTCCAATTGGAACACATTCAGATGTTGATTTGGGAAACTTCTGCAAACATCTCTCGCTACAGTCTTTAGGTACGCATCCTTCGTACAACTTCTCTTCACATTGTATTGCATTGACCGACAACATGCATGCAGCTGTCAAAAATCAAATAGTTATTAAACGAAAACGTACCCAATTCTTGAAAGTTTATAAGATGTTTTTAAATCTAAAAAACAAACCTGAACAAATGAGGAAACTAATGAAGAATAGGGAGCAAGAAAACTTTTTCATTTCTTATAAAAAGCAATGATAAACTGAAATTGATATGTTATTGAAACCCGTGGAAGATTTATATGAAAATATTTGGTTTCAAATATGGGAACATATTAAGTTATTGGAAAGTAGGTTATTATGTCAATATCATTATTGGTTATAATCAAGATATTATCCGTTATAGTTCATTATCTATCGTCGATTCATTAAGTTATTATGCCAATATCATTATTTGTTCTAATCAAGATAATCGGTTTTATTTCGTTTCTTTTATCGTCATTTTACAATTTTTAAATGTCTCTACTAGAGAGAGATTTTCACATCTTTATTATGACTTCAACTTGCTCTACTAGATCTTTTATCTTCTTTGACACAAAAGCCTCTTGAAAGATAGAAAATTAAAAGATTTAAGGGTCATATTTAAAATAAAAATCTTTAATATATAATATAATAAAAAAATATTTTTTTAATTAGATCATATTTAAATAAAACATATCAATACATATTTATCAAATTTGAATGCAGTTTAAATTATATATATATATTTCTTCCTTAATATGAAGATTAATTTGAATCTTTTAAATTGGGGTGTTATAAACTCTAATAATATAAAATTAATTATTTCTTTTTTATTCATTAATTATAGATCAATCTACTATAAGTTGTGTTCATGTATGTAATCACTACAATCAAGTCAATTATCGATTTCTTCACGAATTGTTTGTAACAATCATTAGATTAAAAGTTTGTTTTACCCTTGTAAATATATTTTTCACTATAAGAACTACTGAATTTCTAATTAACAATTTTTTTACGATTAACTATAAACTATGTCATACCAATGAGAGGGTGTGCTCTCATTGTTCAAGTTTACAAAATGATAGACATATTGAATCGGTTCTGAAAGTCATTCTCACCTATGCAAATCAAATACAAGTTTCTCGTAAGGAATAGTTCATAACTCACTCAAGATTAAAATACTTATGATCATCCCATAAAATATTAATCTTCTCAATCAACACATTTAGAAGAAGAGATTAAATATTTCGTAATTCAATCTTAAATATTTTGTGCTTTTCAAAGTTAATATTCTAATCACAAATAAAAAATAGATATTTTGTGCTTTCGGCTTCCCCTCAAGGTTTTCCATATCTTGGCTGACACACCGTTCAGTGTATGGGTCTGATACCATTTGTAATAGCCCAAGCCCACAACTAGCAGATATTGTTCACTTGGCTCGTTATGTATCGTAGTCAGCCTCACAGTTTTAAAATGTGTCTGCTAGTATGGAGAGGGAGAAGTTTTCACATGTCTATAAGGAATGCTTAGTCTCCCTCTCCAACTAATGTGACTATATTGCACCAAATATTGAGGTCATTGAATGCAAAATTTAGAAACACCAACTCGATTATACAACTTCTCTCAAATGACACCTCAACTCAAAGAATTATGTCAAATCAACACATAGTGAAGGACAAAATAGAAATTTAATACAAATTTAACGGCAAAATAGATAGGTAAGAATTGTCCCTTTGGAGCCCCTCTTATTATGTAACATAGATTTAATAGTTGGAGAACCATCTACCCGTTTTCCACCTTAATCTATTACTATAGGGTCAAATCTCCATTATTAAGAATATATAGTTTAAATATGAAGACATGGTAGAAACATCCCTTTTTGACCTAAATATAGTTTAAATATGAAGACATACATTATCCATCGAAAGATTAAATTTATATTAACTACTTACCCAAATAAATAAATAATAATAATAAAATAATTTTTTTTTTATAATTTAGTAAAAAAAAATTAGAGTTTTGAGTCTCCTATCCATTAAAAAAAAAAAAAAATGAAAGATTCTTTTTTCTCTCTTTTTTAGTGCTAGTCTTATTTAAATGAAAAGACCTTGCGTTTGGAGATTATATTCGAGAACCTTTTATATTCCCTCCCATTATTTTTGTAAATAAAAAAATATTTATTTTTATTAATAACTAATGTATGTTAATATACTGATTGAATCCACCAACCTATCGACAAATAATTTCATTTATGATTAAAGAAAAAGATTGATGAGAAAGAGTCCAATCAGATTGTCAATTATTTACTATAACAACCATATGTTACATATTGTATTTCATAATAATATTCCTTTCTAACAAAGATACTATATTTCATCTAAGTATTTTACTGATGATATTACAAGTTATGAAACGTCAATCCTGTAAGACGACAATTTGGTAGCTTATAAATTAAATTATATCGAAATTAGCAGTTTAATCGTTAAAAAAACATGTGACGCAATATACATAGAGGCAGTCGAGAAGGAAGGAAATGGAGAATTATGCTAAAAAAAGTTCTATCCATAGAGGCATCCAACCATTTTCTTTAATGGAGACGGGTAAAAACCAGAATTGATCACTTTCTAGCGATCATGGAAGCAACAACAAAAGCAAAAATAAAATAGTTACAAGGGATTGGTTGAATTCATAGAGAGATTCAACGGTTTTATTTAATAGAGACTGTGATAAAAACCAAAATTAATCATCTTCTAGCAATCATGGAAACAATAGCAAATATAGTTAAATGGGATTTGTCCAATTGGAACACATTCAGATGTTGATTTGGGAAACTTCTGCAAACATCTCTCGCTACAGTCTTTAGGTACGCATCCTTCGTACAACTTCTCTTCACATTGTATTGCATTGACCGACAACATGCATGCAGCTGTCAAAAATCAAATAGTTATTAAAACGGAATTCTTGAAAGTTCATAAGATGTTTCTATATCTAAAAAACAAACCTGAGAATAGGAGGAAACCAATGAAGATTATGGAGCAAGAAAACTTTGCCATTTCGTATAAAAAGCAATGATAAACTGAAATTGATCTTTGATTGAAAGGTGTAGGATACTTTCAATTTTAATCGAAGATTTATATGAAAATATTTGGTTTCAAATAAGGCAACACATTAAGTTAATTTGTCTTTTATTTGGAAAGTAAGCCAATTATGATAAGTTACAACTTTTTTTCTATCCTGGATCTAGAGTCATTATGTTATTATGTCAATATCATTATTTATTATATGAACAGCCATTTTGTATATTTAGTATATGAATAAGGACGTGAATTCGTTCAATAAAAAAAAATATTTAATAATAATAATATAATAACTTTTTTTAATTAATAAATATGTTGCATGTATTCTATTTCACGACTCTAACAGTGAAGTCACTTACTAAGTATTTTTTAAAGTACTTTAAGTCATGTGCTATGTTTACGTTTCAGATAAAAGCAAGACATCTTTCTACGGATAAAGGAATTGACGCAGGAAGACCATGGAGCCGGTGTTTTATACACACTTTTCACCAGCAACCATAATGAAAAATTGAATAACAGGAAAGTCACCGACCATTTTATTTAGGAAACGTGTGGACTTTTGGGGCATTACAGTATGTGGATTAGTACAAGGAAAAGAAGAGCATCACATCAAAACTCAATTTTCTTCACAAGGGAAGAAACAATGGCAAGCAAAGTTGGTGGGAAATTCAGGAGTTTCAACACATTGAGATGTTGAATTTGGGTAAACCTCTAGGCACTTTTGGTGACATCCAGTGGTGTCGCATGCATATTCGAACATCTTCACATCACATTGTTTTGCGTGGGTTGCTAGAGGCACCATCCAACCAGCTGCACAAATTTTCAAAGTTATACATGCTTTAATACCCATTCAAGCTTACAACACAAAACTTAAACACATCTAAACAACCATACGTACCTGAGAGAACCAGGACAAGAACAAAGAGGGAGCCGGAGAAGTTCATCATCTCCTAAAATATGTTATAATATACCAAATTTATGTGTTTGAATGTAGAGTTGGTTTGCTCATTTGCCATTGTAGAATCTGTATTTATATACACATTTTGTTTCACAAATATGGTGACTCTATAACTTTTATATCTTCATTGAAAAGTAGGCCAACTATGGTAGCTTCAAACCCCTGTGGAATTAACTAATCTTTTCATGGAAGGACCTTAACTACCTCGACAAGAGTAGTATGTATTGTTATATAAATTACAACTATTAAAGATTGTGACATCCGAGTAAATAAATGAATCGAGACTATGTCCGGATGAAAATAACCTTGTGGATAGGATGCTAAGAAAAACTTAAAAAAATTAAAAGTTACTGTCCATTCTAGTGGTAAGTGTGTTTTGCTGGTAACAATTCTATGTTGGGTGATCTCTTCAAAATTTTCTTAGAATGCATGTAAGTTAGGATAAAACATGTTAGAATGGCTCGTGTTATTTGTTTCCTTTTTAGAATATGTTTCACTTCTTTTGTCACCAACCTTTGGAGCTTAGGCTCACTTTCAATCTTTTATGAGTTATGCTTTAGTAAATCTTCCAATTTTGTGGGCATCGTTATCCCTCGGTTTGTTTCGGTTTATCAACATATCATCCTTACTGATTCAAGTTCCAAAGTTATGCTTGTAGCAAATTTAAACACTTTCTTTCTCTTAATTGGACAAATGTGTCATCTTTCTCGCTTCCATTCTCTGTAACTCAGAGTGAAGCTGTCATATTATAGAAGAATAAGAGGATGAACTCGAGTTATTTGAATAAACTACTTCCTCCAATTAGATGATCAAATTAAAGTTTTATTACTCCTTACCGAACTATTTCATTTTAAAAGACTTCATTCTTTAGTGATAGCAATTATTTACTCACACCATACAAACTTATCAATCAATTATTTATTCACATCATACAGACTTATCCATGTATAAATTATTTGATTCCACTATTATTTAGCTATTAGCAATGGTAAAGAAAAGACCAATAAATAAGTGTTTTTTGTTGGCCAGATGCTTTATGAGAATTAGATCAATATGTATAAATGATGGTTGCACCATATCAATGAGTGTTGGTTTACAATTTATTTGCTGGAAAGCTTTATCCAATGGTTGTTGAGTTGCACTGATTGTTAGTACGTCTTGGTAGGTTGCTTAGCATGAAGGGCTGGGGAGTGTAGTTTTCTAGATGTTAAGCATGAATGCTTCAACCTGTCTTTTTAGTTTTATGCATGTTTGTTTCTAAATTTTGATGAAAGCATATCTAAAAAATATTTCAAAAAAAAAAAAAATATTCTTCATACTTTTATAACAAATTATTAATGAAAACACGAAGGATATTGTTTTTCTATAAGCATAAATTACAGAACAATTTATATAAATACTAATACTCTTATGGAATGTTATTTATTTTTATTAATATTATGAATGAGGTTGGTTGTCATAGATTCGGTTTAGCTATAAGCAACTAAAAATTGGATCTTACAACTCTTGTATTTTAAGGGCTTAATAATGTATTATTTCGCTAAACTATTTGGCTAACCGATCAAGTTATATTCAGGTCAGCAATTTAGCTATTCAAAAACTAAACGAATATATATGTTCTCTTTCTCTACCTAAAACTTTTTTAATAGTCGTTGGGTTTATTATAACACATTATATTCGTAGGTTAAGTTAGTAGTGCAAATAGGATTGCGAGAGTCGAAATGAAAACAGAGTTCAGGGTGAGAAGAAATAAAATGGAGAATTATGCTTTAAAAAGTTGAATCCATATAGGCATCCAACCATTTTATTTAATGGGGAACGGGTAAAAGCCAGAATTGATCACTTTCTAGCGATCATTGAATCAACAACAAAAGTAAAAATAAACTAGTTACAAGTGATTGGTTAAATTTATAGAGACATTCAACCGTTTTATTTAATAGAGTATGTGATACAAACCAGAATTGATCACTTTCTAACAATCATGGAAACAATAGCAAATATAGTTAAATGGGATTTGTCCAATTGGAACACATTCAGAGGTTGATTTGGGAAACTTCTGTAAACGTCTCTCGCTACAGTCTTTAGGTACGCATCCTTCGTACAACTTGTGAATGTTTGATTAATCCACCACACCTAAATGGTGTGAAAGTTATCTTATTTATAATCAAATAAATTACAAGGATATGAAAATAGTAATAAATGGAAATAACAATAAATGGAAAGATACCTATGATAATAAGGCAAATATTAGATATTTGCCTTATAATAAAATATCAAATATAATATATATGGTAAACTATAATTTATTACTAAATATCCTTAACACCCCACCGCAAGCTAAGCGTCGGATTTAAACGAACGTGAAGCTTGAATCTGAAAAATTCAAAAAGGTTGAGAAACACTTTTCGTGAAGATATCAACAACCTGGTTCAGAGGAGATGTAGAGAAACTGATAAGGATATTTAGTAATAAATTATAGTTTACCATATATATTATATTTGATATTTTATTATAAAGCAAATATCTAATATTTGCCTTATTATCATAGGTATCTTTCCATTTATTGTTATTTCTATTTATTACTATTTCCATATCCTTGTAATTCATTTGATTATAAATAAGATAACTTTCACACCATTTAGGTGTGGTGGATTAATCAAACATTCACATGGTATCAGAGCCCTCTCGGTTTAGCAACCCAATCCTTTCTTTTCAATGGCTTTTGAATCCTCTAATCTTCTTCTCCACCACCCCTGCTCGCTTTGACGCTGCAGGGGCAGTCTTCATGGCTGCCGCAGGCGGAGCCAATTGACGACTCTTCGGCTTCACCCTATTGACCTCCAAATCACCTTTTGTCATACTCTGTACATACAACCTTACCTTTTCCAACTCAATCGGTTTTCCCCTTGGCCAATATAGTCTCTCTCATTTTCTTCCCAATCAACCCTTCATCCTTCACAGAAACCCTAATCTTAGAATTCTCATCAGTGTTCTCTTCATAAATATATGGAATCTCGACAAGCCCATCAACCTTTTGCAGAAATTTACCTTCGGAATCTGGGTGTTGCACTGGCCTCTTCGCCAGCCAAGTTGTCGCCGCCCTTCCTGCCAAAATTGGCTTCTTCGCCCGATGAGGCGACTCTTCCGACTGCCCTTCTCGCCAAAATTGGCTCCTTCGCCCAATGTGGCGACTCTTCCGGCTTCAACATTGTCTTTGTCACTTGCTCTAGGTTTCCCCTTCTACTTCTTGGGGTTAGAAATATTCTCACTAGAGCCAAGGCAGCATCGTCGCTAAGCGACAATCCCTCTTCATGGGTTAAACATATTCTCGTCGAAGCCAAGGCAGCATCGCCGCTGAGCGGCAATCCCTCTGCAAATTTTTGATGGTCAAGAACCGGGTTGTTAGCATCTTCATGAAAAGTGTTTCTCAACCTCTTTGAATTTTTCAGATTCAAGCTTCACGTTCGTTTAAATTCGACGCTTAGCTTGCGGTGGGGTGATAAGGATATTTAGTAATAAATTATAGTTTACCATATATATTATATTTGATATTTTATTATAAGGCAAATATCTAATATTTGCCTTATTATCATAGGTATCTTTCCATTTATTGTTATTTCTATTTATTACNACTATGTCCGGATGAAAATAACCTTGTGGATAGGATGCTAAGAAAAACTTAAAAAAATTAAAAGTTACTGTCCATTCTAGTGGTAAGTGTGTTTTGCTGGTAACAATTCTATGTTGGGTGATCTCTTCAAAATTTTCTTAGAATGCATGTAAGTTAGGATAAAACATGTTAGAATGGCTCGTGTTATTTGTTTCCTTTTTAGAATATGTTTCACTTCTTTTGTCACCAACCTTTGGAGCTTAGGCTCACTTTCAATCTTTTATGAGTTATGCTTTAGTAAATCTTCCAATTTTGTGGGCATCGTTATCCCTCGGTTTGTTTCGGTTTATCAACATATCATCCTTACTGATTCAAGTTCCAAAGTTATGCTTGTAGCAAATTTAAACACTTTCTTTCTCTTAATTGGACAAATGTGTCATCTTTCTCGCTTCCATTCTCTGTAACTCAG